GCACAAGGACAGCACATAGACTGAGTGGCGAGCAAGGGGGGGAGGGGCGTTGACAGTGCATGGAAAATACTTCAATTGACCTGTCGTGGGTTTTTTTTTTTTTTTTTTTTGCATTGGAAGGGAACTCCCCTGAAACAAGACTTCCTTGTTGGAGCAAACATCGCATCCCTTCCTCTTACAGTAACAGACTCTCTCGCAAAGAACGGCATCTCACAAGACGCACACAAACACACTCTCACACAAGTACTCCCCCTCTCATAGCGATGTCCTCGCACAGAAGCACAAACGGACACACCCGGCGCACATTCACTGACGCGCCTCTCACAGTTATACAAACACACTCTCGCAGTAACGGTGTCACTCACACGGCAACACAATCTCTCCCTCACACAGTAACACACAAACTCGCTAAAATGCTTCTGTGACAGTGCATGCACTCTCTCAAAGCACTCTCTCTCTCACACACACGAATAAACACAAACTCTCACTCAACACACTCTCCCTTTCGAGAACATTCTCACATCAATGTACTCTCACACGACAACACATATGCAAGCACTATTGTCACGGAAACGAAAACACACTGAAAGAACACGCACAAACATTACTTGACACACTCTTCTCACACAGCAACACGCACATATCACATCCTCGCATAAACACGAACACACTCTGAAACGCGCCCCTCTCACACAGCACATGTTCTCTCAGCCACACTGCTCTCACACAGATTACACAAAACAAGCTCACGCGCTCGCTCTCTCACACAGCAACGCACATGCAAACAAACTCTCACGGTAGTGCGCACGCCTCCACAGTCGGAAAGCACTTTAGGAGCCCGTGCAAGTGGAACAGACAGGATGTGGGTGGACTGGGAGAAGTGTGTGCGTGCGTGTGTGTGGGTGTGTGCGCGTATGCATGTGTGGGGGAGGGTGTGGATGGATCAGATCCAGCCTTGGAGACTCATGGGGGGAGGTGAACCAGGGCAGTCTCTCAAACACACACACACACACACACACACACACACACACACACACACACCTTCAAAGATAGAAAAACAGCCAGACAATGAAAAGGTGGGATGTCACGGTTTGTGTGACTAAAAGACACACAGACACACGATTGTCAAATGATGTTTGACTGGACTCCACCAGCAGAGACAATGTGCTCACCTCTACAGACATTTGGCATCGCTTGATGGCTACTTTCGGTCTATGAGGCCACAACATGAAGGCTTGGGGAATTTGGGTCACGGGAGGGGGGGGGGGGGGGGAACAAACACCCCAAACAAAC